CAAAATAGTTGTTCTTCTCCCCTTACCCCCCAAGGCTGGCAGTGGTCCTCTGTGCTGGACTTGGCCTCCCGCTTCACCCCTATGTGAATGGCTTTGTGGCCCCAAGCAGGGGATGGCTTTTCAGCCAACAGTAGAACAGTCTTTCCCGCCTGGTCTAGTGTCTCCGAATTGCACTTCTTGAGCCTTCCTCTCTGCAGTGGTAGCAACAAAAGAGGAACTTACAGTGTTGCTTTGAGGTTCCAGTGTTTTAGTTCAAGTCTTAATAAGCAGGTAATTTTCCAGTTGTTATTACAAGTAAAAAGCCAAAATGGTTTTAGGTGCTGGGTTGCTCTGTTCTCTAGCGCAGCGTCACAGTCAGCTGCACGGGGTGCGGGGGTATCTGGGCTCGGGTCGGGCGGCGCTGTGCTCCTGCGGCCCCGGGCTCCCCACAGCCACCTGGGATGGGAGAGGATTCTTGGCAATGGGATTGTGTGGTCAGGTGACTGTGGTAGCTGAGAATCTTGGTATTTTCTGGCTTGAAGAGGAGCAGACACACTTTATGAGAGGAGGGAATGAGGGGCGGGCCTTCAATTTCTCCACTTCTATTTTTGGCTTAAACTAAGTTCAGTGCCACCAAGAGAACTTGCCAATGCATGGTGCATTATGTATTTACACTTGTCTCTGCATGTGGTGTACAGAATCCATACAGAACTTGGTTGTGACTTATACTTTTCTAGAACATTTTGCTTTCTGGGTTCAGGATTCCCGGGGTGCTACTGAGTCACTGCAGTCATGCCCTGGTGATGTCGGCACTGTAATCATACCCTGTGCTCAGCGACACTTAAAAAGTGCAAAGCATGGACCTTGCAATTTTAGGCTACTTAGGTAAGAAACAACTCATGAAAAATGAAAAAACAGTGCGCTAAGCAACACTGAAGGCGCGGTGGTGGCCCGGCACTGCCGCTCAGGAAGGGTTCCGGGAGGTCCACGCAGGCAGTGCCGCTGGTATGGAGAATGTGAAATATTACGTTCATAAAGAATCCACTAACAAACCACCTCCTTGTCTTATATTTACTAGTATAATAAAGGATATCTTTATTGTAAATACAAGTAAAGGCACATTTGGAAAGAGCGATAATGAAGGAGCATCTAAAGGTCTTCAGAGGGTAGTTGGGTTCCCAGGCCAGCCTCTGAGAATCTGTGTAACCTCTGTGGCACGATGGTGATAGCCAGCACACCTCGAGTCTGTATCCAGATCTGCAGATGGATGTATTTAAAAAATACACATTGTACTTCTTAGTAGTCCTAGGGATGGGAAAACTTCCGAGGCTTCTGGAGGACATAGGCAACTGCCACAGCTTCCTAAAAAGATGTCCAAGCACGGGCAAGTGTGTGTGACTTATCACTCACCTGCACATATATCCTAAAACTAGTATGAATAAGGAGTTGAAGTCTTATCAAGTAATAAAATCGTGTCAGAAGCCAGGTAATGAAACCAAGATGAGTCATGTCTTTGAAAATGGGTGACATATATGGTGGCCTTGAACACTTGTCTGATTTTATGGAAATGAACGAAGAGGCATTTTGGAAGGAAAACATTTTTGGAATAACCTATTTAGAAAAGTATTGGAAGACTATTCTTAGTGTGGATGATGTGTTCCCTATAACCTACATTTTATGTGAAATTGTTTTGTGAGTGTGAGAAGTGACTTGGCCTTTATGGTTTTGGAAAGGGCTTAGATTTGATTGGGTCTTTTAAGGAGATGATAGTAAAAAGCCAGGGGTGAGATCCTGGGTTGAGATGCTGTGATTGCTCATATCTGGTGTTAAAAATAGCAGGCATGCACAGCAGGATGAGTTGGGATTGTGGATGAATATTTAATAATAGGCCATAAGGAGTGAAGGTTAAAATTAAACAATTTGTACTGTATGAGTATCTATTTTCACATCTGAAGTCTCACTAGAAGGTATTTGATGCATTTTGAGAGGTTACAGATAATCTGTATTTCATGCTTTTGATTTTCAGAAATCTCAGGGTTAAGCTAATGTTTTTGACGTGGGTGCAAATTAACTAAATTTTAAGTAGGACTCTGAGAGTTTGTGGCAGTGATGAGACAGATAATACAAAACAGTTTTAGTCAGTGATAAGATGAATTTGCTGCACTGTTATCTATAGCATTAAAATATAGACATTCCAATCAGCTTCCCATTTAAAATTTCTGCTTTAATTAAGCCAGTTTCAGTTGTGCAGTGTTTAAAGTGAAAGAAGTAGACCTTTGCTGTGCTTTAGCTAATCCAGCTGGAACGTGAAGCCTGGGCTGCCTCCAGCTCCCACGGGAAGCGCAGCCTGAAGCCTGGCCTTGGCGCCTCTCCGTGGGCCCTCCGCTACCCCCCCCCCCCACCCCAGCCCACACTCCAGCCCAGCTTTGGCTTTACGCATCCATAGAAAGTCTTCTTTTACCTTTTGAAAGAAAGTGTGAAAAATAATTACCTTTGGCCTTTCTTAGGCATAAATTGTAATTTAAATCATTCTGAGAAAACTTAGTTCTAAGGCCTGATTTTAGTTGTAGTCCAGTATGTCAGCAGGCACCCGGACGTGTGAATTCAGCCTGGGTTCTGTGAGTTATATGTTGTGTGAGCAGCTGCTGTCACTGAGCACAAAATGTTTCTTGACTAGTGAAAGTAACAGTCAAAATTCCATGAAATTGTGAATTTTAAATAGAATTGCGTGGCCCATACCTCTCCATTCAGGTAAGATCAGTTCCCGGCAAGCTCCAGTGGGCCCCTGAGGACAGAGCACAGGTGTTTTCTCTGGATGCTTTGTCTAGCCCACCGCAGACCCCTGAGGTGCCCACGGGTGCCTGCTGCTTGGTGGGGCGTGGTTCCTTCCATGAATTGTTCATTTCTCCAGCACAGTCACTGGCACTTGTTCACTGCACATCGCAGAAAATCAGTGAATGGATTGATCAAGTCATTTAAATGAATAGTAGGGTAACCCTAAGAAGGAAGCAGGGCCGAGACCTGGGGTGGGGCTGGGGCTTACAGGAGGGAGGGGGGCTGGCAGCTCCCTCAATTTGGGCTTGGGTCCCCATGCCTGGCTGCCCTCATTCACCTTAGCAACTTGTGTCCTCACCTCTGCCACAGACTGCCCTGGCCAAACTCCGCAGGATTTGGGCGCTCACTGTGGCGGGCATGAGTCCTTGCTGCATGTGACCCCTTCTGCACACCGTCGTACTCTCTAGATCTCTGAGTCTTCTGAGCATTTTTTTGATTTTTTGTTTCCTTATTCCCCAGTAATATCTTCTAGAATTTACCTTTACCTGCTTTTATATATTCTTCCCTGATAAACTCTTGAGTTTTTACCTGCTTCCTGTGGATCAGTTCATCCGGTATTAATTGAACATTTGTCCCAGGCACTCCGTTGGGCGCTGTCCTGGGGAAGGAATAGTGAAGCCAGCAGGCGCTGCCCTCCAGGAGCGGATGCCTGCCCTCCCTGGGGAGGCTGCCTTACCATGTGTTTTCTGAGGTCAGACCTTACTCCCTCCCTGCAGACTCACCCTATCTCTTCCTTCTGGGTACTTCCACCTGGGTTTCTGGTAGAGCCTCAAATTTGATGTGCAGAATGGTGAAGGTGCCCATCCCAGGAGAGGGGGCTCCGCTCCCAGGCCAGAGTCCTCTGTCTTAGTTGGCATCTTAGCAGCTATCTAGCCACCCTTGCCTCTGCCTTCCCTCCCTCAGTCTCCAAAACCTGCCATCTTCTTATCCTGCTAATTGAATCAGACTTGCTTCCTTCCACCACTGCAGCCTCAGGACCTCCGTTTTCATGCTGCGCCTCCCGCCCTGGTCCCTCAGCCCCTGAGCTGGCCTCAGGGAAGGAGGTTCCTTCCCCCTCCCCACTGTTAGCATTACTCCTGGCTCCTCTCAAGACACAATCTGAAGCCTTTAAAACCAACTTAGATGTCTCCCCCATGTGCTGGCTTCTGCTGCTTCAGCTGTCTCTCTTCGGATTCCTCCCTCATTTGGCTCTAACTGGCTTATGTTTCCTCGCCCACACTGGCAGTGCATCCCCTTGAGCCTGTGGCACCCCATGCTGTGCGCCTCTACCTCAAAACTCCAGTTGATCCCGCTGGTCCCTGTGTCCTTCCTCCATGCCCATATAGAACCCATATTGTCGCTTGCACACAGTAGGGTTCTGTATGTGGTTTCGGAAGGAGGGAGGGGTGGAGGGGCTGGGTGCATGCTGGAGCCTCTGTAGCTTGTGGGGACTACCCAACCCCCACCCCTGGACTCTGCTTCTTTGAAGCACCAAGGGCTTGAAAGCCCAGGCCCAGTCCTGGCTCTCCCACATGTCCTTGGCTGCGAGGCCCATGGGCTGACTCACCAAGCCAGAAAGAAGATGCACAGTCCGGTTTTTAACGGGTTATGTTTGGTGAGATGCTTACTTGGGGAAGGTGACTCGTGACTCAGTCTGGGTGCTTATTCATGCGCACTAGTGATCTTTGAAAATTGTATCCTAGACATTCAGTGCTATCTAAAATCTATCCTTTCACTTTCTAATGAGCCCTCAGATGCATTAATGTTTGATCAGGACTTGCAGACTCAAGTCTAAAATAAAATAGTTCTAAGAGTACTTTGAAGTCAGAAAGTGTTGCTAACTCAGTGTACTTCGCTTAGGACTAGTAAGCTGAGCAGAGTGGGGACCTGGCCTGTCCCTCACTTCCTGTGTGCTCGAGGGTGGGGGGGCGCAATTCGGATGCAAATGTTTTCTCTCTGCTTAGGAGGCAACTTCTTGGGGATCTCCCTTCATTGTTAAAACCTTCCTCAAACCTGTGAAAAATTAAATGTATTTACCTAGGTTTTCCCTTTGATGTTCTGGGTTTCTACTTGTCAGTTACTGTTAATTTTTTTCAAAAGTAAGGGTAGATGTTTGTGTTTTAAATGTATGTGTTAGCATAATGAACTTTCTGCCATTGTAATAAATAATAACATAATAAGCTACTTCTTGGTTGATTTCTTCACAGGGCAGCCCGATGGATCCCATGGTGATGAAGAGGCCCCAGTTGTACGGGATGGGCAGTAACCCTCATTCTCAGCCCCAGCAGAGCAGCCCATACCCAGGAGGCTCCTATGGGCCCCCGGGCCCGCAGCGGTATCCGATCGGCATCCAGGGCCGGACGCCAGGGGCCATGGCGGGGATGCAGTACCCACAGCAGCAGGTTTGTGCGAGTTTGACTCCCATCTCCCCCTTTCATGGGCGATGCTTTCCTAGCTGCTTCTGTCTACCCAGACGGGTATTGAAGGAATTAGGGAGCATTTCACCTACTTTCTGCTTTCTTTGAATGGTCATAAATCACAAGTACAGCTCCCCCCTCTTTTAAAAAGAGAAATTTTTACGCTTCTTAAAACAAAGTGGACCAAATACCTGTTTGGAGGAGGCCCTGTACCTGTGTGGGGAAGGTGGGCCCGGGTGTAACTTCGCAGCCGCCTGTACAGGTGGAGGCCCGCGTGGACTTGGCTTTGCAGGTGTTGGGTCTTGTTGGGTGTTGGGTCTTGAGCTGTGAATATGCTTTTTTTTTTTTTAAGATTTATTTTTTTTATACAAGAACCGGGGTACATGCCAGATGTGCGGGAAGGTGAGAGGATTCACCAGAGACAGAGCGGGGAACAGAACAGGCAGACTGACTGAAATACACTGCTGAGGGGAGCAGCGGGTGAGACAGGAGAGGTCTGCCCGCCATGTGGGTTGCTCAGAGGCCGGCGGGGATTGAACTGGCACTGCAGAGGCTGCGGACAGCCTCACAGCGCTGCACTCAACCACCTGCGCCTCCAGGGAGGCCCTGTGACTATGCTTTTTAAAGCGAAGTTTTAAGTGATTTAGAGAATAATTATAAGGATGGCATCAACTCTTAAAAAGGAATTTTAGTCTCTCCGAAAGTTAAGTTGCTTCCGTTTCTTAATGTATTGTTTCTTCTGTGCCTTTTGGAAAAGGTTTCTGCATCTTATGTAAAAGAATCTGATGTGTGTCTGTTTTCTTAGCTTTTGATGTGTTTTATGTTTTTACTTAAGACAACCAAGACAGACTTTTCCTGCTCAAAAAAAAAGAGAAAAAACAAAAAAACTAATATGTTTCTCCTTTTTCTCTGAATTCGGACAGTTGGAGTTGCCTTAAATGACCATTCACCTTCTAGCAGTAGGGAGCCTGCATGGTCTCTGGGAGCCTGGAGAGTATCGCCTTGTTCTGCTGGCCCGAGGAGGCATGCAATTTGGAAAAAGACTAAATTAAATCCAGACTTGTTAGGGTATCCTTGGTAGGAACACCAGAAAGACTTACTTAGAAATTCTCATGCCCTGGGGCCTGGTGCCTGGGACCTTTACTGCTTGGTCATTCCACTTGGCCCTGCAGTAATCTACTCCAGGATTTCACAGATACTGCCCTCAGGAAATACTTCCCTGTGTTTGACCAAAAATTGTCTAGAAAAAAAAAATTGGGATACAACTTTTGTTCTCTCTAAAATGGATGTGGTGAATGATACCTCACAGCTTATGCTCCACATCTCTGCACTAAAAGCTCATGAATAAGTTGCCTCTGAGCCTTTTCTTTTATGGACCAAATACTGTCCTCCCCTGTTGCTGATATTTTTACCTTAAGGTGATTGTAGACAGAGGTAGAAGTAGCTCTGCCTCTGCTGCAGGTGGCTGGGTCCTCGCTCAACCTTGGTGGTTGTCACTCACACTCTTGCTGTCCTTCAGGCTTTCCAACGTTATTTATTTCTCACATACTTTGCTGCTGAGAGTAAGAGTCTAGTTGAGGCTGCTGCTTCTGAGAGAGAGAGAGGTATACTTTACATTTGATGAAAAATTAAGAAGAGAATTGTGATTTTTCTCTCTCTCCCCTTCTACCTTCCTTTTCTTAAGTTTTAAAGTTAATTTGCCCTCGGTTGTGGGGAGGAAGGTGCAGAAAGCAACCTGCTAAGGTCCTAATTCTACTCTAGCTAATTTCGTAAAGTTCTGTGTGATACTCTGGCCACAGGATAAGAGAAAAGTCAGGAAGGTGGTAAGAAATAGCAGGGTGAGGGGGGAGAAGTAGAAACTAAACACCCCTGTTTCTGCCCCTTCTTTGCACCAGATTTCCCTTATGTGAGATCTGAAAGTCATTTTCAAAAGGTGCTGCTCATAGCAAAGTACCAGCTGCTCTTTTATCTTTTTTCTGAATGAGTTAAAGTCTTCCTAGAAGTTTTTGGCATTGGCTTAGTTTTCGTTCCCAAAGTGGGAATCTGACAAATGGAGAGGGAAGAATGATTCACTGTTTACTTCCCCAAATGTGTAAGACTAAACATAAAGACACACACAGGTACATAAAGTAACCTTATTTTTCTTAGCTTCTCAGTTTTATTTGATCTCTGTGGCTGTTACGTACATATGAAATCTAATAACTCTTGGATTTATTTGAAGGGACAATTGATGATTTCCCTCCATGTATTTCAGTAAATTTTTAATTAAGATTTTAGATTAGGCAGTTTATTGCTAACCAGAAGAAATGCCTACTTCTACTTTAGCACAGATCTTTCTGGTACTAAAAAGGAAATAGTATTCCTGGTAAGAAGTTGAATGCCCTGGCTGTGAAATGCTCAGCTTTCATCTTGAGTTCATCATGATCGAGCGGTCCAAATAATCTGTACTGCATTTTCACCCTTTCATTTACTTAAAATACAGCCTTGAAATATAGTGTTATGTTTCGAAATCTGAGCGGCTAACTAACTGGATGCATTTTTTAATGTGTGCAACATTTTAAAAGGGACACATGACTTTTATAATACCAAGTTCATGAAAGGTGTGAGCTAATTAATAGCTTTGAAATGAAAAAGAAAATAGCAGAGGTTTTGGATAGAGGTTATTAGAGCACATTAATTTTGTCAGCTTTAGTCTGTGTTCTTTGGTGAGGGATTTTTCAGTGAGTTGCTTTGTTTGCAAATTTTGGGAAATGGTCTATTTGTTGACAAACAAGGTCCTAGCACAGCAATTGGCTGCTGGTGCTGTCCATCTTCCTGTAGCGTTAATGTGATTGGCCGAGTGTTGTCGTCATGGCTGCTAATGTTCTTCTGGGAGAAAGTTGAAGGATAATGATGACATTGAGTTTTTACTGAGTGGACATCACCGCCTGGTCCTGACTTTGCTTTGGACGGCCTCCAGCACTTTCAGTGTTCGCTTTGTGAGCTTCTAATGAGCCAAATCCAGTTCATTTAATATTGCTTCTATATTTCTGCAAAGGATTAAAATGCAGGAATTCAAGTTTGTAAATTGAGTTGCCGTCTTACCAGCTGAGTGGTAAGTTGTCTTTGGCTCAGGGGTCACAGTTTGATTCCTGGCCGGCATTCCACTCCTGTGATATGAATTTTAAAGAGTATTCTGTTAGAAAGAGCCACAGTGCTTCTGTGACATTCAACACGAGCAGTGAGTCCCTCTGCTTACTTTTTTTGTCTCTGCGAGTCCGGAGGAACTGGCCACTGAGTATTTGACTTTGATATTAACCTGGTGATTCCCGATTTGTATGGTGATTATCTTTGAAATATGCTCATGACTGGGTCTTTGAAGCGTGACGTGATAATAGTACCTCACTTCGGTATTTATTAACTGGGACTAGATTCGTGCTCTTTCACTGCCTGATTCTCTCACATCATCAGGCAAATACATGGATAAACAGATTAGTTTTGCACGGTGCCCTGAAAACTAGTCAGCTTGGATTTTTATTGAGCTGAGAGGGGAAATGAATTTTCTATGCCTGTGTGAAGAATGTTCTGCCCTAGGCTCCTGAAATTCAAACCTGGGGATTGTTAGCAGAAGTGCGCTGGTTGATTTAATCTAATACAGAGCTGCATAGGGGAAGTATAATCTTTATACTTTCTAAGTTTTTCAGATTTTCTTTAAACTTAGACACTAAGTTATCCATTGCTTGTATCAGAGATTTGATCCAAATGTTCTGGTTCTTCTTTCTTGTCCTTTATGATCATAACTATGTAGATAGGCCTGTGCCAATTTGCTTTAAAAAAGACTTTATATAAAAGAAATAGCACCTAGGAGAAATAGGCTATATAGAACTAAGATATATGATATATTTACTCGTATCTAGCAGATTTCAGTTACATCGTTTTGAGAATTTTCCTGAGTTATCAAGGGTTATTGGGTTGATATTTTAACTACTCTTACCTTTTAACAGATGTGTGTGTCATCTGATGCCTGTTGCAGTTACAAAGCCAGGGAGAGGGAAGGAGGGCACAGTGAGATTCACCTTCATGAGTACTTTGATAATGGAAAAACATAACTTCTAGTTTTTAGAAACATCTTTATTGTGGAGAACTTGACAACAACAAGAGCAGGGGATATAATTGTGTTGAAAGATACTGTGGTCAAATTTGATAGAAATTAGTTATTTTTGTCAAGGTGATCCATTTGAACTTGCTACTTTAAACCTAAATGAAGACTGAATTGAAAACAAGGTTCTTTTGGGAAAGACTTTAAAAGTAAAAGATACTGTAATTTGTGTCTTTAGTTTATCTTCTACTCCCTTTGGAAATGTCTACCTTGCAGTGTGTTTTTTGAGTAAAATATTTATTTCAGAACATAAGCGTTTTATTTGGTACCATCTTAACAGCCAAAACACTTCTTCCAATGCAAATGTTTATTTTGGCAGCAGATGTTTCTAAAAGGAGATAAACATTACAATTGTTTGGCTAAAATAAATGTTTTCTCTTGGGTTATTAAGGCAGCAAGCAAGTTCTAGGAGTCCCACCTGTGTTACTTTCTGCTGCTGTTCTATTCTGGGGGAAAAAAAACAACTTTTAAGTAGAACTAAAGTAGGTTTTGCTATAGTTTGAACAATGCCTCTGAAAAATAAGGGTGAAGAAGGGAGCACTAGATTAAAGTCTCAACATTCTAGAGTTTTTTTTTTTTTTTTGACACTAAATGTTTGTTTTGACTCAGTCTCCAAATCCTAAATGTGAATCCAATAGTTTGGGCGTAATTTTGGATTTTTTTTTTTTCTAAAAAGAGCCCAGGCTTCCTATTTTTAAGGAGCCTGCTGGGGTGGGAAAGGAAGGCTTAGCCTAACATGGTAGCGAGGATTAGGGCCTAGTGTCTGTTGTACATCAGACTCATAACTCTTTGATAGCTTACACACAGTCAAGACAGCCACCTCTACCTTTGTGTGCGCTTTTGCTGG